AGCCAGATGAAATTCCTCTTTCCAGCCCTCCTTGCAATTCACAGTGTAGCTGTTGCAAATTATTATTAATTGTTGTTACAGCTTTAAAAGGGGCTTTAATAAAGCGGCTTTTGTTACCAGAAAAGCTAGAAGGCATCCCAAGGTGCAGCCAATATACAAGCTAAATTAGGAGAAAATAAGGTAGGATGCCATGCAAGATGGATTCTGATCTGCTTAGCTTTGTTTCCAAGCATTTGGGGGCATTTCTAAAACCAATTTTTTTGCTTTAATTACACATTAACTACGTATATACACATTAACTTTTAGCTTAACTAGAAATGGCTAGCCAGGTAGCCTGTTTGATCTACAATGAATTCCTCTTAATTTTGAATTACCTTTGAGAAGGGCTTGCCCTCACCCTACCTAACTTTGCCCAGGTTTCACTTGAACAGTCAGGGTTTAATCTTCTCATGGGTCTCTCAATGTAAACATAACTTCTCAGAGTGAAGGGCAAAAACCAAGGCAACAGAATTTGCATCCCTGAGAAGTAATGCAAGTACAAGCCATGGAAACTCTTCATAAATTGGTGGTGTGCAACTGTAGCTCTCCAGATGTATTTGGAAGCAATAAACAGAATCCCTCATTATGAGCTTTGTTCATGAGGTCCGATGGGGACTGTGGGTCAAAAACAGCTGTAGGGACACAATTGAGGCAGAAAAATATTGATTTCCAGAGGGCATTGTTTTAATTGGCCTTACTTGTGATCTACATGCTGGGCCTGTCTTTCTGTAGTTGTAGTTATTTGTTTATTAGTTTGTTTGTTTTATGCACCATCCTTCCACCCAAGAAAGACCCGGACAGCACATAAAACAGTGAAGCAGCTGCCTCAGACAACAGAGTGTGGGGAGCAGAAAACAGTAGCAATGAAGAGCTTACCTCATCCTGTAAGGTATCTTGTTGCCCTCAGGAGTAGTGAAGGATACTATTTTCCATCAGCACTAACACAAAATTTTAATGCCAGTATGGTTATGGAAAGAGGTAGATCTTGTCATTTTCCTTAGGCAGAAAGCACTGCCTGCTGCACGGTACCCAGAATGAAGAATATCTTTGCCTGTGAATGTTGCATGGCTGTTTAGTTTCCTGTGAAGAGACAAGAAAGAAATACGACTGCATCTGCACTGCAGAAATAATGCAGTTTTAAACTGCTTCGATTGCCATGGCTCAGTGTATGGAATTCTGGGATCTGTGAAATATTTATCCTTCTCTGTCAGAGAGCGCTGGTAACACAACAAATTACAAATCCCAGGATTCCATAGCATTGAGCCATAGTAGTTAAAGAGGCATGAGACTTAATTATTCCTGCAGTACAGATGCAGCCATGGAGATTTTAATGACTAAAGCACAGTGGCTGCAATAAGCATTGGTGCAACAAAGTATTCATTGGTAAGGGTATACTTAAGAAAAGGTGACACTATGCAAATATTCTCCAAGTCCATGTGCCTCTGACCTACTCACCATTTTCCTATCAGGCCAACATTTGTAGATTTGCTATTTGAGGAAGAGAATGTAAACAACGCAAGACAACTGTCACCCATCCAGTGTAGAATTTGATGCATGACAGCAGCCAATGTTTGCTCTATTCTTTGAGTCTTGGCTCTGATCCTGCAGTGAAGAATAGGTCCCAAATACTTTGCCAGCAGTAGCAATTGATGGAGCAGAATGTTGTTCCCTTATGATGTTCTCTGTGTTCAGTTCAGTTAATAATATTGAACCTCTGTGTTCAATAATGATGCTCTCTGTGCGTTCTGCAAAGTCTGGTCTGACAACCACTTTGCCTGCAGCAAAGTTATCAATGGACAATTGAACAGTTGGCCAAGCCGGTGTTGCAAAACACACAGCCGGGATATTGGCATTTAATTGCAAGATCAGCTTCTAAGCAGTGGCACTGGGTGGTTCAAAGATGAAGTGTATTGCTGTGGTCAGCACATGGCACCAGCACAATTGGCTCAGCTTGTGGCAGAAGGGTTGGCTCCTTTCTCTGTTCTCTTTCTTCTGGCAGGCAAAGACCTTTATTTACAGGTCTTCGGCTGTTAAATGGTGGTTGCAAAAGGGTCTTTTAATGGCAGTGCTGTACTTTTACTATTTGTGTGTTTTAAATGCTTTGGAAACTGATATGTCTAATAGAATTGCCTGTTTTAATTGTCTTCTGACTTCTGTGCTGTAAACCATTTAGCTGTATTTGGTTTCGACCTATCTTGTAAGCTGCCTTGGGTTCCATATTGGGTGAAAGGTAGGATACAAATTCAATAAATCAATCAATAAACAAGGGGTTAGAAGCAGGTTCTCTGAAAACAGTAACTTTTACAGTCTCAAAGAATCAGAGAGAGAGGCCAGCTGTGGCATTTTTTAAAAGGTAAAAGTGACATCAGTTGAGTTCTAGGCATGAGAGAATGACATTCTCTAGTACATACTACCAATAACTGTGTGTATGTGTATGTGTATGTGTATGTGTATGTGTATGTGTATGTGTATGTGTGGGGAGGGAGGGCATGTCACTGGGGCAGTGAATCCAGGTTTTATACTGAACTTTAAAGGAGGTACCCAAGGTCTTGACTGTTTTTTGGAAATAGAGTCCAGCATCTTGGAATGATTTTTTAAAAGCTCAGAATAAAATTGGAGGAGAATTGTGGCTCCACTAATGGACATCAACAGTGGCCATGGTAAGCTACTGTTTGCAATTCCCAGTGCAGTTTGGGCCTGATTCTGCTGTGTCGGAGCAGAAACAGTTACACAAAATGGAGGAGACAGGGAGGAATGTATGCCACAGTTTATGCCAGTCAGGCTATACAACAAAAACCAGGCCTGCAGGGCCTCCTGTCCAGGGTTGCATTTTACCTATATGTTTTATTTGGTTATCTGTGGAATAAGCATGATCAATCACATCATTGTGTGAATGCAGGGATTTCAGATCACACCAGGTGACATCGTTGGAGGAGATGACACTGAAATGAGTGTCTATAAAACTTTTGTACAGTTCTAACCAGTGAGACACACAAAGAAGGAAGGGAAGGGAGGGGAGGGGAGGAGAGGAGAGGGGGAAAACAGCCAAACCTCTTCAGGGTCATGCGTCGAGGGAGGAGTAACCCCAGTGGCAATCCCTTTTAAACACATACACAAAAAGAGTAGGCATCCTCATGGGAGGCAGTATTCATTTGGAGGGGGTTGGACTGGATGGCTATTGTGGTCTCTTCCAACTCTATGATTCTATGAATCATAGAAACGTTACTAAGAATTCTGTATGCTCTGGTGCAGGAGGATGTCGATGGGGTTGACACCATGAGTTACCATACTGGGTGTCACCAAATGATGCTACTGGGCACAATGAGTGTTTCAGGCCTATTGAAGTCACAAAAAATGGTTATAATAAAGATTTTAGTGGTGTGTGTGGGTGTGTGGTGTTGTCTCACTCTCCCAAAAAACAGTCCACGTCACAGCCTTATTTTTTTCTGGGTTGCTTTTAGAACAACTAGTTGCCATGCCAGGGCTCAGTATTCATAATGTAACCAGTGGAGGTTTTTTTTAAAAAAATTTTTTTAAAATAAGGTGAGCACCAACTGTTCTATAAAAATGACTTTCAGATTGTAATACTACATTGTAGCATTTGGAATTTGTGTGATGTTTAGATAGTTCCAGCCAAGATGTGTGTAATTGGATATGTGTGTAACTGAAGCAGTGTGCACTTCAGGCATTCACAAAGAGGTCTCAGGGGATATTTGCACAAAGAAATTTGCCAGTGGTTTTTGGAATAATGAGTAAATTTGAGAACTTTGGATCTGCTCACAAAGTAAGCCAGCTGCACAATCCAGAAGACCAATTATTCCATGCAGGTTATATTTGTTCAGCTGCTGCCCTTCATTCTGTTTAGACAATATTTCCATTTTAACATGAACTTCCCCCCTCCACCAATAACAACCTCAATTAAGTGCTACATGTCCATCTTGTCATCCCACCAAAAGACTGGCCCATAGGAGTCCAGTGAAATCCTCAAAAACTTGTCCCATCATTTTTCTGGTGCTTAGATCAGGCTCCAAATCCCCAAAGTAGGCTAGCACAATAGCTGTCTGTGTGGCGTACATTAAATAAGTTATGTAAAATATATGCATAATGTCAAAACAGAGCTCCCCCTTGCAATATGAACTGTGGAGCCTGTTCTATACAATGCTATACGACAATCCAGATTCTCTGCCAAGGGAATAGTGGTTGTAGGCTCTGAACAAATAAACAGTATGAACATGTGCTCAGAGATTTGCATGATTCATTCTTACTTCTTCAAAATGAGTGTTTTAGCATAATTGGATGTTTCAAAAGATTTTGGCCTTTTAGCAAAACTCGATCTCTGGAACAATAGTATGACAGGTGGAGGAGTGGCATCGGAATGTGGTATCAAGTAAAACTGTGGCATAAAGGAATGTGAGAAGAGGCTGAGAGAAAGAGTTTGGTGGCTCAGAGAGTAGCGGCTTTTCTATCCAGGCACAAGTTTTTCAGAAATACAAGTCAAGCAAATTTGTAGCAGGTAGAATCCAACACTCTTATCAGAGTTGGCCTCACTTTGAAGCATCCAGTGGCAGATACTGAGATCAGAGGGAGGTAACATCAGCCAACCATTTTTCTGGCATCTGCTGCCTCAAGTAGGGTTAAGAATTTAATCCCATAGCAAGCTGTGACAGTTGCGGTCTCCAATGTCAGTGGGGCAAGGAATCAGATCTGGGTTTTAGTTTAAACATCAGAGGCCCTATCTAAGGCATATTCAATAGCTTTTTTAATGTTTGGACTATGATTTGCAGTGGATTTACCATCCCATTGATACTGGAGCTGAAGCAATATTGATCTGCCAATCCAGTAGGATTTTGTATGTGGAATTGGGAGGGGTGGTATGTTGCCTTTCATCTTAGCTACAAGTGTCTAGGGTTGATCCTGTGGAATTCTCTCTCGAGTTGTAATGCTCACTAGGTCAATCTTGAGCTAGTGTGGTATAGTGGTTTGAATATTGTACTATGACTCTGGAAACCAGAGTTCAAATCTCTGTTCAGCCATATAAACTCACTGGGTGATCTTGGGCAAGTCACATGCGCTTAGCTTCAGAGGTTGACAAAGGCAAATCCCCTCTGAATAGGTCTTGCCAAGAAAACCCTTACAGTCACCATAAGGTGGAAATGACTTGAAGGCACACAACAACAAGGACACCTTAGGCTACACTAACCAAATTTATTCTAAATTCCTTAGATCAGGGGTAGGCAACCTTTCCCCTTTAAGGGCCAAGGGATTTCAGCTCCCAGAAGCTTCAGCCATGTTGGCCAATAGTCCCATGTTGGCCAATAGCTCCTGGGATTCTGGGAGCTGAAGTCCCTCGGCCCTTAAAGGGGAAAGGATGCCTACCCCTGCCTTAGATGGACAGGAGAAAATGTGGCAAATCATCCCAAAAGCATGAAAACTACAACCACATAGAATCATGGAAGGGGTCCCATGGGCCAGCTAGTCCAACCTGCTGCTTAATGTAGGATCTCCAGGTAGAGCATCCCCAGCAGTCACCACTGGACTTTTTGAAGAAGTCCAGAGGAGAGCCCCACCACCTCTCTAGGCAATTGGTTCCATTGCCAAACTGCTTTTACTGTCAAGAGGTTCCTTCTAATGTTTGTTTGAAAAGTACCCTCCTGTAACACTAGACCTGGCCCTTCCCTGAGGGACAGCAGAAAACAAACCTGCACACTTGTCTCTGTGACAGTTCTTAAGGTATTCAAAGAATGCAATCCTGTCTTCCTTTTAGTCTGTTCTTCACTTGGCTGAACATGCCCAGCTCCTCCAACCTTTCTTCATATATTTTGTTCTTGATATCTCGTATCAGCCTTGTTTCCCTTCTCTGAACCCACTCCAATTTGTTTATATCCTTCTTAAAATGAGGTGCCCAGAACTAAATGCAGTACTTCAGATGAGGCCTGACTAGTGCAAAATACAGTGGGACTATTACTTCCCTCGGCTTGGAAACTATGCTTCTTTTAATTCAGGCTAAAATAGTATTTGCCCTCTTTGCTGCAACATTAAAGTGCTGGCTCATATTCATTGTACGTTCGACAATAATTCCAAGGTTCTTTTCACATGTAGTACTTCCAAGCCATCTTATACCTGGTTTTTGTGGCCTAAATGCAGAATTTTGCATTTGTCTCTGTTGTATATACCTGGTTTTTGTGGTCTAAATGCAGAATTTTGCATTTGTTTCTGTTGTATTTCATTTTATAAATTTCCACCCAATTATCTAGTTTATTCAAGGTTTTCAATTCTATCCCCATCTTCCAATGTGTTAGCTACCCCTCTTGGTTTTGTATTATCCACAAACTTGATAAGGATTCTATCTACCCCATTATCTAAGTCATTCATAAATTTGTTTGAAAAGTAATGGCTCCAGGACAGAACCCTGAGGAACTCCACCAAAGACCTCCTTCCAGTTTAAAGCACAGCCATTGAAAACAACTCTTTGAAGTTGGTTTTCCAACTATGCTCCAACCAATCCATCTGATAATGTTTCCATCTATTCCATATTAGTTTGCTGATCAAAATATCATGGGGGGCCTTATTAAATGCTTTGTTGAAATCCAGATAATGACCTCCACAGCATTCTCATCATCTGCTATATTAGTGACTCTGTCAAAAATAGATATAAGATTATAATTTCAGGATTTGTTCCTAGAAAACCCATGCTGGCTTCTACTAATCACTGCATTGTCATCAAGATACTTGCAGACAGACTACTGTATAATCTGTTCTCATATTTTTCTTGGGATTGAGCTCAGGCTGATGGGTCTATAGTTTTCTGGATCTCCTTTTTTGCCCTTCTCAAAGAGAGAGTCAATGTTTTTTTCATCCTCAGTCCTCTGGCACCTCACTCATTCTCCAAGATTTCTCAAAAATGATAGCATGTGGTTCAGAGAGTACACCAGCAGGTTCCTTCAATACTTTGATATGCAGTTCATATAGCCATGCAGATTTGAACTCATTTATAGCAAAGCCTTTGACTGAATAGAACATGAAAGGCTATGGAATGCCCTTAAAGACATGGGAATGCCA